CTGGGGAAGGGGATAGGATGAGTATTACAACCAAACAAGAGTGTGATCAGGATCGAGCACCTAAAACCACACTTTCAAGTTCATGTTCCTCAATCCACACCAATTCTGATTCATCCAATGACAAAGATAGTCAGGATTCCCGCGTGGATAGTACTAATTTAAAGATAGAAATTCAAGTAAGAGCAGATAGTTGTAGGCACAAGTCACAACTTACCCATGAGCGTGAATATGGCTATGGTGCGGGTACAATTGTGCTGATCTTTACCTTTGAGGATCAGCTGGCTGTTAAAACAGAGGAATTAATAGAGATAGAAGAAAGGGTGAACAATCTATTTTACCAGCTAGCACTTGCAGAGGGGTTTGAGATGCCTAGACCAGAGCAAAGAGGAGATAAATAGTGTACTCAAATATGTAGTGTTGCCTCATCTATATTCTAGTGTGCTATAAGAAGAATTAAGCTGGTATGTACAAGGAGACCCTTGCATTATCAGGCAGGGTTGATACACAGACATCAAAGTGATTGCAGTTTAGCATGGCTTAACAGTGGCTACTAAGGTTGATCATGGCAAGTCAGGTAGATGCCAGATTGTCAATGCTCTGCTCAGTCATTAATAGAAAGATTATGATAAGATAATTAATTATTGTGGTTGATCTGTAAGCTATAAACATTCATTGTGGTTTTCCAGACAGATATATGACCTGCAATCACAGAACATATGATTTGTGTTTGCTCTGGTCATTTAGAGACAGTATGGCTACCAAGGTGTATAAGATAATTGTGTATAAGATAATAGTGATTAATTAGTAAACTATCAATATGTGTCAGTTAGATGTCATTTGGTGAACAACATGCAATGTTATTATTGGACTCCCCTTCGGTATATGTGAGTGTCTGATTATCACCAGATCTGCATGAAAATGGGGGGAAATTGGCACAACCTGTCGGAGCTGAAAAGCAGATATCAGGCAGTATATATCAGGTAAAACATTCCCTAACCTTGCAAACATTTGGTTGTGAATAAAATGAGGTTGCGGAATGACGACAAAATTAAGAAGGGATGCAATCATCAGATTCTTCCAGCCTTATATGATCAAAGCTGGAATTTGTTTGTAAGTAATACAAGGTTAAATCTATTGCTGCAACATATATTCAGATCTGATAAGAAATATATTATAACTTTTTATGACTTTAAAAAAATTGGGAGAGATTGTCCTAATAGTATCAAAGTGCAGAATGAAGATATTTTATAACAATTAGTATGCAACGCTAAAAGTTAAATATGGTTTTCTGGCTGGCATCGTGAAAAGGATTACATTGCTGGCATTTTTGACAGATAGTGGAACAACTGGCAGAGTAATTGTGTTGCGGCCTTCATTTGTATAAGATCCATCTTCCAAAATGTGATGCCTAAGCAGTTTTAGCAGGCGCGAGTTCAATGTATTGTGAGGTAGGCCAAGAGCTTGGATGCAAAGAGAGCGAGCGTGTAATAGACTATGCTACCATCAGCTTGTTCTTCCACTCTGCGTCACGGTCTATAGCCTCCCCTGGCATTCTTTCATGGTAGTACTCATCGGGTTCAAGCAACATGAGAGCAAGGGCACACAATGGCTTCCATAAGCCTATTTTGAGAGTTCGAATAAAGTAAATTTCGCGAATATAAAAGAGATAACTACACGTGTCACC